ACTCCTAAAACACCAAAAGGACCTAGTTCTGTAGAAGACATTAAGGCAAAAATGCAAGCAAGTATAGAAAAAGCGCATTGAACAATCCTGGGCACTACTGGTAAATTAAGCCCAAAGATGGGGAAAGAGGAAAAGGAGAAACAAATATAGTCCATACTGAGTACCATCAACAATCCAGACTGAAGCCTTCTATTTTAATCTCAATCCCCTTTCCTGATTGGCCATCCATTCCCCCCTTGCATGCTAGAAGCAATCTCTTATTTTCCTAAAGCATTTTTCTTTCACTCTTGTGATGCAGAGAACTTTACTGCTTTCTACACTTGTGCATATGCCTCATCTCTGACCATGTTTTAATACCTTTGTATCCTTAGCTGCTCAATAAATTTTTGAATGAACCAAAAAAAAAAAAAAAGATGATGATAATAGATAGGTAGGTAGGTAGGTAGATAGATAGATAGATAGATAGATAGATAGATAGATAGATAGATAGATAGATAGATTAGGGTTTCTATTGCTGTGAAGAGACACCATTGATCATGGCAACTCTAATAAAGGAAAACATTTAATTAGGGCTGGCTTACAGTTCAAAGGTTTAGCCCATTATCAGCATGGCAGGAAGTATGGTGGCATGCAGGCAGACATGGTGCTGGAGGAGCTGAGAGTTCTACATCTGGATCCACAGGCATCAGAAGAGAGCCTGACACACACTGGCCAGGTTTGAGCATCTGAGACCTCAAAGCCCACCCTCAGTGACACACTTCCTCCAACAAGGCCACACCTCCTAATAGTGCCACTCCCTATGAGCCTATGAGGGCCATTTTCTTCCAAACCGGCACAGATGGATCAATGAATGGATGGATGGGTGGGTGGGTGGATCAATCAATTGATCAATCAATCTTGTTTTCCTTTTCTTTCTTTCTTTCTTTCTTTTTTTTTTTTTAATGGTTTTTTCAAGACAGAATTTCTCTGTATAACAGCTCTGGCTGTCATGGAACTTGCTTTGTAGACTAGGCTGGCCTCAAACTTGGAGAGATCCTCCTGCCTTTGCCTCCTGAGTGCTAGAATTAAAGGCGTGTACCACCACTACCCAGCTGTATTTTCTTTTTATTACATTTGTTTATTCAGAGGGAGAGGTGATATTTCTGTGGGCACATGCATGTTAACACACATGTGGAAGTCAGAGTACAACTTGTGAGAATTATTTCTCTCCTTCCACCATGTAGGTCATGGGGTTAAACTCAGGCTGTTAATCTTGTCACAGCTGCCTTTACCCCCTGGCAAGCTTGCCTGTCCTGAAGTATAACCATATTACAATAATTCATGCTGGCCAGGAATGATGTCACACCTGTAATCTCAGAACTGAGGAGGCTGAGGCAGGAGCATTGCAAGTGTGAGGAGAGCCTAAACTACATAGACCCTGCCCACCCACCCCTAAAAAGGAGAGTTGAGTGTAGCACGTGGTAGAGCACCTGCTAGCTTGCACTCTGTCAGGATTTCATGTCTTGTAATGCAAAAAGAGAAGGTGGGAAAGAAGAAAAAACTCAAGGGAGCTTTTTAGCTTTGTTGACCGCTTTTGTTGTGATTGTTCTGGGTTTTGTTGGGTTTTTTTTGAGGCAGGCTCTTACCTTACAGCCCAGGCTGGACTAGCACTTGAGATCCTCCAGCCTTGGGCCTCCCTAGTCCTGGGATTCTAGGCATGCAGCAGCACACCTGGCCTGGCCAACCTTGACCACTGAGTAAACTGTCAGTCATATGCTGCATTCTTTTTGTCGTGGTTAAATTCCCCGCTTTGCATTGGGAGAACCTCTCTTCAGGCAGACCCTCTGTCTGTAGTCCAGATGGAGTTGTTCTTGGACTGGAGGTGCAGCCACACCCCTTGCCAATCTCTGAAGCTCCTCAAGCATTTCCTTGGAATCCAGCTTCAAGAGCAGGTCCAGCCCAGGCAGGGCCACTGAGAAGTCGTCCCTTGGTGTCCTTCTGCAAGCCCAGCAGATAGGAGGGGGCTCTGACCTATGGGAGTGGGTGGTAAATGCTCACTGCATGCCAGATGCACTGCTGGGTCCTATTTTCAAACATCTGAAGATGGATGTGTGATGTATTGTCTGACCCCGTAAGCAGCACAAGGAGGGCAGGCTCCCATGATGCAGCAAGCCAGCATTACCCCAGGCTGGCCCTTACCTAGTAGCTTAACTCCTAGTTTTGTTTCACTTTTACTAAGTAGCCCAGGCTAGCCTCAAACTTGATATGTATCTCAGGTGAAGTCTTCTTAGGATTGCCCAAATTCTAGCTAGCGTAGCAGAGAGGAAGTAGATCAGGCTGTCCCTGAGCCTACAGATAGGCCATCTCTGCTTCCTCCCAGGCGCTGGCATTATACAGGCTTTTACCACCATGGCGGGATAAAACGTTGATTTTTTTTTTTAATCAAATCTGCCTGTTTTTTCTCCCTTCTCACCTTTAAAAATCCAGTCCTCTTCAAAGCTAGAGCAGCTACTGTTCTCAACTGTTTTCTTCTTCCCGTGACTTTTTAAGTTTTATACTGCTCCATGTGATCGTGCGCAAAGCTAAAACGACTCCTCATAACTTTTGTTCCCGTGTTACCTGTAGTACGGATCTCTTCCTGTCAGCCCCTTTCTTCTGTTTATTTGATTTTCGTTATTGTTTTCCTTTTTCTTATTTTGGTACATGGCGTGTGTGCATGTATGAATTCATATATGTGCATGCGGAGGTCACAAGTTGTCACTACATGTCACCTCTTCCTTTCTTGCTCTCCACCTGACACACTGAGGCAGGATCTCTCTGGGATCCGGCTAGTCTCCTTAGCCTGTTTACCCCAGGCATCCCTGGTCTGTATCCTCAGCTAGGATTACAAGCTAGGCACCACATCTGCCCAGCTTTTATGTGGGTGCTGGGATTGGAACTCTGTCTTTATACCATCTCCCCACCTCCACCACCACCACCCCTTTTTTTGAGACAGTTTCATGTAGCCCAGGCTAGCCTCAAACTTGCTATGTAACTGAATTCTGATCTTCCTGCCTCCTAAGTGCTAGGAATACAGGTGCCCTTGAGCCCGGCTCGCATGGCATCTTGTCCCTGGAAACCTGTTCATCCGCTCTGCTTCGGGGTGGCTCTTAGTGACGCGTGGTCTCAAACCTGTTTCTTACTTCCACCAGATCATGACCAACACTGGGAAGGCTCGGCGCAAAGGGCTGGCCAGTGTGCAGTGGAGCGGGGGTGAGCCCCTGCGTCGGCCCGTCACCCCTGGCGGCCACAGGACGGGGTGTCCAGTGTAAGTTCGGGATACAGGAAGCGGGAATCTGTTTTCTTAAGCGCTGTCTTGATTAACTGCTGTGTAATATGTATTCAAGTGCATAATAAAGCATTCATACTGGAAAGCATTTCTCTATTGTTTATCTCTTGAGGATTTTTGGAGGGAAAGCAGGTGAGGTCCCATCTCCCTCATACACACTTAGGTTTCTTCCCGAAGGAGAAGTGTGTGACTTGCTAGAATCCCAGGGCCACCTCCAAAGACCAGTGTTGGCAAGAGTCATTCAGAAGGAAGTTCCTGAGCAATGGCGGTTCAGCCAGTTTGAACGCCTGCCCTATCGTTCATTCGTGTGGCCTCTCCTCATAGCGCCAGGTCCAGTGCTGGGACTGGAGTGTCACAGCTCTGTTTTGGACGAGGCTCTCAAAGCAGCTGTGTGGTTGGGCCATGCGTGAAGCCCTGGGTTCTGTCCCCAGCACAGATACAATGGGGAAGGCAGCCATGTCCTTTTTTTAGCTGCGAGGCACTGTTCATTCTCTGTAGCCTGCTTCCTACCTCTTGACAGGAAAATAAAACTTCAGTCAGGTCACCTGGGCCTCTGGGTCTCTGGAGAGACTTGAGGATGTTGAGGCTGGAGCAGCCAGTCAAGAGTCCCTTCTGGTATTTACATGTCCTGTCTTTTCCTAAACTGGGAAAACTGTAAACAGGTGTGCGTGATCAGGAGGTCATAGAGAGCCGGTCAATAAGTAGTGACCTTATCCTGGTGGCCACACCACGTTATCCTTAGCCTCTATTGCTGGACGGTCTGGTTATTTCCAGTTTTACTGTGTGGTAACTTTATGACAGTCAAGACGGTGGAAACACTGGTCTGTGTGAGCTCTGCACCACAGCCGCCAGGAACACCAGCGTCCTGCACCAGCTCTTGCCGAGCTTTAGTACACATCTGGAATTTGATGTATGAAACTTCCCAGCCCACGCCATGGATCGGTGCTCTGAGGCCTGTTTAATTAGCTCCCTTGTGCTTCTGTTTCTAGGTTTTGATTTTTAATTACTGATCCTCAGATCAGCATATTGTGTCCTTTTCCCTCTCACGCGCCCGACACTTTGAACGTACAGTGGAACAGAAGATCGTGCTAAGGAGATCCTAGAGTTCACGTTGCCTCTCTCTCTCCCCCTTGCTCTCTCTATGTATAATACAGCGTTTACAAACATACTTGTCTTGTCTTTAGAGATTTGCTCACTTAGTGTGTGTAGGTGCAGGATGCTCTTGGATATAGGAGAGAGCATCTGATCCTCTGGTGCTGGAGTTAGGAGGGCTGGTGAGCACCTGACAGACATGGGTGCTGGTGAGCACCTGACAGACATGGGTGCTGGTGAGGACCTGACAGACATGGGTGCTTATGGTGGTATTGTTTTCCCCAAAATATTGTGTACCTTAATAAACTTATCTGGGGTCAGAGAACAGAAAAGCCACTAGTTAGTCAGTGATAGCACACGCCTTTAATCCTAGCATTCCAGAGATAGAAATCCCTCTGGATCTCTGTGAGTTCAAGGCCACATTGGAAATAGCCAAGCATGGTGACACACA